AAAACTTCAACTTCAAACTTGAAACAAAACGACATTGTTTGATTGCTCGAAGACTTCACTTCCGCAGATTTTGGCCATTAGTCAAAGTCGTCAAAACATTTCGTTTACAATCCTGAATAGGCCGCACAGTCAAACTGAAAACGCATAACGAAATTAATGTTCGACCTGTAGTCAAGTTGAGTCGCGTTTTCCCAGTTTTAAATTGGCCAATCAACAATCAATCATGTTGCTTATCATGCACTCAGACTTCAATAAATCAATACAACTAAGATGAACAACTGGATAATTTCAGCAACTACTCAAGAAAAAGATGATAAAGAACAATATCTGGTTACCTTAAATCTTGGTTCCCTTTTCTTTGTTTTTACTTTACCGTATTTTTACTATTTAACCTTTTCCTGTCTTTGCACGCTCTGCAAATGTGTGCGGGTGTCAATTCTTTGACTCGATTTAAGAACTTAATTATTTTTACTGCGATTTTCTTCCAAGTAAGCTAAAAACGATCAAATTGCATGAAACAATCAAGTCAGTGACTTTAGCAATGATTCAAAATTTCCAATATGAGAATTTGCTGCGAGACAATTCAATTTCAAGTTTTCAAAGTAAAAGTTATATTCAAATACATGTTCTCTAGAATTTAACTTATATTGTTTTTAGACTTCAGCTTTATATTTAAAACGGTAACCCTCTTAGTCCCCCTCTCTCGTTTATCTTATATTTTAATTAGATAAATCTTAACCAATATCAAACCCTGATTGGGTCACTTCTAATCACAAGTTTCCGATGAAGATAAAAACCTTTTTACAAATTTGTGGACTCCAGGTTGATGCAAGTTTTGAAGAGCCCTAAGGACAGGTCTTATCTTTGATACCTTTGTAAAGAAAACAGCCAAAAAGAGTTTCATGAATGTACCAAAAATATTTTTGCGAAACCAGAAAAATCCTGCATATTGGTGAACGGTCAATATCAAATTGAATTACTTAGCAGATCTTCAAAAAAAAAGCTGAATAGCTAAAAAACACTTTAAAAATTTATAAGCTCGGCTGAAAACTAACCTGAATTGCGAAAAAAATTGCGCCACAGTCATGACGATCTTAGAAAAAGTCTATGTCACAAAGAAAGACGCTCACAACGACACGCCATAAACTCATTGTTTTTACCACATCATCCGGTGGCCAATGACAAAATCCTGAAAAAACTTAGAAGGGTCTGAAACAATACCAACATTTTCAAGTAAAATCCCTCAACAGTAACTAACTCAGACTTCCAGATCTTTTATGCAATTTGAGTGGCCTATTTCTTGCTTTCGACTGAAAAAAAGCTATATCTACAGACTTGGACTCCAGGTTGATGCAAGTTTTGGTGAGCCCTAAGGACAGGCCTTATCTTTGATACCTTTGTAAAGAAAACAGCCAAAAAGAGTTTCATTAATGTACCACACATATTTTTGCGCTACAGGCTCTTCCTGTGTAGCTTGTAATGTCAATTGCAAGTGTGCGACGGAAAATCAACAAGATTTTTTGAATGCTTACGAAAAAATTAAACGGAACATATACATGGACAACTTATACGTTACCTCAGCTAGTTTAGGAGAAGCTATTGAACAGATGAAGCAAATTAATGGTTCCCTGTCTCAAAGTGGATTCTTTTATAGATTCCATTGATCCAAACATCCTCGTAGCACTGAATGATCCTACATCTCAGTTACAATGAGTTGTTGGTGTAAACTGAGATAGCAACAAAGATCTTTATTTGTCAAGTTTTTTATGCAGGAGTCGCCACTCAACCACAACAGCTAAAGTACACCGCATCACTGTTTGACCCCTTATGCAAAGTAGCCCTAATGACAATTCGCATTCAAAAAATCTGACACGCGATGTAGTCTCAAGGTGTTCAATGAGACCCTCCCTTAGACATCAACAAACATCCAGATCACAAATTTTGGCTCGATGAAATTGAAAGTTTTCAAACTATTACGCTGCCACGGAACTTCTTCAACCAGAAAAATCAATCTTTATTTCAGTTTCACACATTTTGTGACGCAGTAAAATGTGCTCCTGCAGCAGTTTGCTACATTAAAATTGCAAATAACAACGGTTTGAAGACGCTTAAATTAGTCATCGGAAAGGCATGGGTTGCTCCGATCAAATGTATTACAATTTCAAATCTCGAACTGCAAGCTGCAGTGTACGCTGCACAATTGTCCTGGTTCGTTGTCGAGGAACTCGACTTACAAAGGGAATTTTTTTTGGTCCGTCAGCAAAACGGTTTTGCGTTTGCTGCGATACCAGAAATAGGACACAAAAAATTTGTGGCTAATCGACCACAGAAAACATTGGATGTAACGAAACCCGAGCAATGGTTTTACGTTCTACCATTGCTAAACCTTGCTGACGATGATACCAGAGAACATAATAACAAAAGTCTCTACACTCGCTCTGGTTAAAAAGATTGTATTTATTTAAGAAAAAAATCCAAGAACGGGCCTTCACAGGAAAACAAAAATTTGGAAAACATCTCCGTTTTTGCAGCCATTATTTGTTTTAAATTCAAACCAATGTTTGATACTCAACGCTTCAACAACTGGAAAAGACTACAACGGAAAACTGCCTACTGTTTTTTGTTCAATGAAAACATCAAACGAAAAATGAAAAAATTACCAATGCTAGGTCTTCAATTGTCGCACCTGGCAAAAGAGCATTTTCTGGTCATCAAAACTGCTCAAAGGCAAGATATTGTTCACGAAATCTCAAATCTTCAAAAAAAGAAAGCAATCGAAAGCAAAAACCCGCCTTGTACTTTAGCCCATTTTCTGGTTGAACTTGCTATATTACGCCCAAGAGGACGGCGAACCCGGGCACCTTTGCTACTGTCTGTAAGATATCCAATCATTCTGGCTGGTGATAACTCAATCAATCGACGCTATTACGAAATTTGCACGTTCTTGATTCTCACTGCGAAAACGACCTATCAAAGGCCAATTAAACAAAAACTTCTTAATTGTGTCATCATTCACAACTGCATACCGCGCAGAAGAATGCAACAACGAGTTGATTATCTTGGAATAACAGATCTTTCCATTAAAATGCTGTCATCTACAAATCACTATCTCTTCGCAATTATTGAATTAGGTTATGTTGAACCCTTTCCCATTGTTCTACAAGGTAAACAGTAACCCGTGTACAACCTACTCTTCGCCTGGTTTGTCATCAGAGCTGTTCACCTGGAATTTTTTTAAGCCTCTTAACTGACACTATTTTACTCTGCATCAGAAGCTTAACCTCCTGCCGAGTGAAACCAACGAAAAAGGTCTCTAATTCTGGAACAAGGTTTGTCGCTTCTAAAACTGAGCTGAAGACATGTCTTTTAAGCTTATAGACAAAAAAGAGATTTTGGATGGCATCAATCAATTCTAAGTAACGTTCGAAGGGAATTTTGACCATTCAGAAGCGCCTCAATTTGGTAATTCTTGAGAAAAACTAATGCATACTTTTAAACTCGCCCTGTACAAAGTCATTGGCTCCAGATCAATTATCTGCAAAACACTGACAACTTTCACTGCGGAGTTTGAGTCAACATTGAATGCGAAACCGCTAACAAACGTGTATCCGACGACATTTAAGATGATCTGCCGCTCACTCCAAATCCCTTTTTACTAGGTGGACCAACTCAAATTTTACCACCTGGTGTCTTCAAGGTTACAAGAACGTCTCTTTCGAAGTCTTGGAAAGCTTCACAGCTGCTCCTGGATCTTTCAGGAATCAATTCCTCAGGCAATACTTACCCGGTCAGCAGAAACGGACAAAGTGGAAAACTTCAACTTCAAACTTGAAACAAAACGACATTGTTTGATTGCTCGAAGACTTCACTTCCGCAGATTTTGGCATTTAGTCAAAGTCGTCAAAATATTTCGTTTACAATCCTTAATAGGCCGCACAGTCAAACTGAAAACGCATAACGAAATTAATGTTCGACCTGTAGTTAAGTTGAGTCGCGTTTTCCCAGTTTTAAATTAGCCAATCAACAATCAATCCCGTTGATTATCATGCAACTCAGACTTCAACAAATCAATACAACTAAGATGAACAACTGGATAATTTCAGCAACTACTCAAGAAAAAGATGATAAAGAACAATATCTGGTTATCATAAATCTTGGTTCCCTTGTCTTTGTTTTTACTTTACCGTATTCTTACTATTTAACCTTTTCCTGCCTTGCACGCTCTGCAAATGTGGGCGGGTGTCAATTCCTTGACTCGATTTAAGAACTTAATTATTTTTACTGCGATTTTCTTCCAAGTAAGCTTAAAACGATCAAATTGCTTAAAACAATCAAGTCAGTGACTTTAGCAATGATTCAAAAATTCCAATATGAGAATTTGCTGCGAGACAATTCAATTTCAAGTTTTCAAAGTAAAAGTTATGTTCAAATACATGTTCTCTAGAATTTAACTTAAATTGTTTTTAGACTTTAGCTTTATATTTAAAACGGTAACCCTCTTAGTCCCCCTCTCTCGTTTATCTTATATACTAATTAGATATATCTTAACCAATATCAAACCCTGATTGCGGTACTTCTAATCACACAAGTTTCCAATGAAGATAAAGACCTTTATACAAATTTATTGACTACTTTGACTGAACTCTTCTACTCGTGGACTAAAAAGGTTAAACGTTTCTAAGATGGTATTCATTTTTTTCTCTAGCTGCAATGATTTGATTTGCAAAATATCAGTTTTTTAGAGAGGACCTAGAATTTTTTCAACTGGAAATATGGGGCATATTTCAAAATTAAAGTTTGGCACGGAAGTGTTTTTCTACAGGTTTTTTTGGTGGCGGTCGATCAAAAAAGAAGACCAAAAAGGTAAATTTTACCAAATTAGGTACCATTTAGTTTATCTACCTGTATTATCATTTACTTGTACGGACTCAAATTTATCAAGAGTCATGACCAATTTCAATAGCGGAAGACTAGTTACAAGTTTGACAATTTGAACGGACCTTGCAGTACTTGGACTGGATTGAGCTCTCAGTAACAATAGAGAGAAAGGTGTGACACTCGACAACTGCCTGTCCTATTTTGGAGAGGAAGTCCACCCCCGCATTCAGACCGTCTTCATCCACCCACACACTCAGCCCCCTCTGCTTCAGGGTGTCCTTCAGGAGTCTCATCAGGTCAGTGTCCTCGTGACTGTAGCTGATCATCACGTCCATTGCAGCAGAGTATATAATTGTGAATTTAATTTTCACTCAAAGGAGTTCGGATATTTAGAAAGAGGTGGGCCTATGGTCCCTCAGCTAATTGTGAGTTATACGTTTGAAGAAGCTTATAGATTTCTTCCAGCTAATTCAAGTAACGATTCAAGCAATGACAAGAAATAATTGTGAAATTAGAAAATATGCTTGAAAAATTTAATAAAAGCGATAACAATGATATCTGTCAGGTTTTAAAAGTCTTCAAAAGCGTCAAATAAATCATTAAATTTATGAACCCAACTGCAAATGTTTTTTATTACCAATATAATTGTTGCAGACGTTGCAGAACTGTTGTAAAACCTTTATTTTTCAGTACAAACTCTTTAAAAATAACGGCACGCAGGTAATTGCAATTTCGTCTATTCGCTCGCTGTAAAGAAAAAAAATTTACAAATCCGCGTATTTTTTTTCACTGGTGCATTTTGCTGAATTTTCCATTGAAAATAAATCGCACACACAGCGCGGACTACAAAACACGGCTGCCTCTGAAATACGCAAGGAATAAGATAAGCATAGGAAAGCAAACCTCTTTAGCATGCACTATACTTTCACATTCTCAGTTATTCAGTTATAACTCAGCTATTTTGGTAAACATGTCAAAATTTTCATTTGATATTAATCGTGTTGCAAAGTCTGAATTGAACTGAACGCCCTAATACATATTCACAAATGGTGTAAGCCTGCCTAGAGATCAACTGATCATAATGGTTATGGTTAACTACAACTGCCTTGAACTCAATCGAAACTCATTTAGAGCATTGAATCAGCTGTAAAATTTACAATTACTTCAATAAGTTGAGTATCTTTGTCACTCTTTCCGGTCTTGATTGTCCAAACTGATGTTTGCTCTGTATATAGAAAACTGTGATACTGCTATGCTATTGAAGACAAGCTTGCTCATATATCAGGGCGGGTTAGCGTAAAAAAAATTCACATACTCAGACCAATTTGATTTTCCGGAGCCATTTTTTTGAAAAAAATAACAGCCTAAAATGACGTTTATACTGACGCCAGAGGTGCGTTTTCTCGAAGGGGATTTTTAAAGTTACAATTTTACGTCGACCAAATTGATTTTCTGAGCTCTCCCAATCACTATGAAGACCCTTTAGGGATTCGACCCCCGCACCAACCAAAGGGTCGCCCCTTCGGTATTATTTTATGACATCCATTTTCTGTCGACGAAAAAGGATCCGAAAAACCAAAAAGTGAGGCAAACATCTCAAAAAGAGCTTTACTAGGGCAAACATCTGACATTCTTCAATAAGATCCGATTCCTACCGCCCGCTGAAAAGATGCCATATTGGCCAAATTAATAGTGACCGCTCACTTGCGCTAAAGTGTTGCGAGCTTGCCAATAGAGGGTAAGACTCTATATAACAAGACTGCTTGTATCAGGGCAAAGCCTTGAATGTTCCGACTTCAAGATTGATTCAAAAAATTTTTGTTTCAAGAATTGACAACATAATCGAAACTTTTGCAATTTATCCCCCACACGCTAATGTAATCCATGATAGATGCAATTATCGTCTTGTGTAAAAAAAATGCGACAAATGACATGCCTCATATCAATTTGGAGTGCATTAATCTGCCGTTTACGCATGGTATAATATTGCAATGTTGCGTGTTTAAGGTCCCAAAATGACCAAATAAGCAATTTTCAAACACCCATAACTTTACAAAAAACAATAACCGGCGAAACGCTTTCTTAAATATAAGCTCCAAACAATATTATTTTTCAGATGTTATCAAAAAAATTTTTGTCAAAATTGGGTAAGAAAGATGACTGAACAAAAAAAACCACACCAAGTATAAATATCAACATTTTCTTCGAAAGTCGGAATGAAAAAATAAGACCAGTCTCTAGTTATTAATGAGATCAGAAAACTATTTTAAGTCAAATTGGAACATTTAATTTGCTATTTAAGCATTTTATAACGCACGTAATTTTTCAATCTCAATTATCAAACCTTAATTTTTTTACAGAAAATCTTCAGAGGTTAATTTTCTTTTGTAAATCGAACTTTGGTCAAAAACACCTTTTAGATGAAAGAAAAAGATTTTGTCAAAAACATAAAGTTAAAAAGACAAACACTGACTGTACAAAAAACCCGAAAAATAATTTTTCTGATTTTTTTAAAAGTCGGAACAAAACACTTTTTTCAAAAATGTTATTATTCTCTTCGATTTATTCTTCCGATTTTCAAAAAAGTGCTAATATTTTTGTTTTTTCACTCGAATTTATGCAATCGAATTGAATTTTCGGCAAAAATTTGTACCCTATTGAAGATATCGACTCATTCTGTTCAACTTTTTGAAAACCCGTTTTTTGTAAATTTTTGAGTGTTAACTTCAGTTCGGCCATAATTTTGATATCAAGTTAATTTTTTTCTTTTCTGCTCCTGACAACAATAGCTTTCAATTGGTAAAAAAAACCTATGTCAAAAACGCTTTGCTTTTTTCCTTAATAGATCAGTTTTTCAAGCAAAAACAAAGTTAATTAAGTTCAGCGTTGTAAAGATGAATGTCTGTGACTGATCCTAGAATGAGTTAGTAGCTTCAATTTCAGTTTATTAGTTTAGCTTAATTAGCTCGGTATCAACCATGAGGTTTTACTGAAGTTATAAACATGATAGGCAAAAAAATAATTTGTTAAAGAAAACTGCATATTATTACGTGTTGAAAAAAAAGTTACTGATTATCAACACAATTTTTATAAATAACTTTCGTTTTCTGAAAATCGACGAAAATTTTCTGTTCCAAATTCTACAAACTTACACTGCAGCAATTGAAATTGAACTCAATTTCAAATAAACACAGCCTGTTAGCAAAACTTATTTTGAAAGTTGCCAGGAAAATAAATTTATTGATGTTGATACAGAAACTGGGTAAAATTTAGTGACTTATCGTTTCTTTAATTATTTAAAAAGCTCTAAAATCTGATGCTTTATCCATCTATTTAATGTGTGCTCTCAATTTTAAAAAAAGCTTTAGTTTTGATAAAAAGAAGCCAAAAGAAGAAAAGGTCATCAAAAAAACTTTTCAGTGAACCTCACCGCTGGTAAAACTTGATTTTTTTCATTAAAAATATGCATGATCGACTGCGAAATATAACAAAAAATATTTCCGTTGGAAGAGAGTGGGTTGAATGCCCCCGTTGAATGTCCCCCCCCCCCCTTTACCTTCGTTGCTCCCAAAACTTCTCCAATGTCATCTTTCTAGCCTTCATCAAAAATACATGCAGCCTCTTCTTGAAAGAGGTACAGCGACGTGTCACCAGATTGGAAACGAGTCACGAGATGACTCCTTGAATAAAATGGAAAAAAAAATGATACGATAAATATAACAATTGCTCTTCAAGGATAGCAAAACTGTTCGTATCATGACAAAGCCTGAATGTCCCGAATGCCTTTTAAGGCCTATGGGCTGTGTTTGAATTAAAATTTTTATTTAAAAAAAATAAATTGATCGAGTTTAATTTCAAAACTTATACCCCGCACACGCTATGTAGGTTGCAATATGATGTAATTCGCTGATAGTAAAGTATTATGCAGTAGCAAAGAACAAAAACTGTACACACCATTTTTTTTTGTAAAGTTCTGATTGCTTGAAATTTCCCAATTCATCCGTGTTTTAGATCAGCTTCTGCGCTCTTTAACGATTTTAATTATGATGTTGAAAACTTAACGCAAATTCTTTATGAGTGGCAAAATATCATGAACTAGAAAATTTTCCCCAAATTTAATTGAGGCAAAGGCAAAATAATTAGTACAGTTTTCGTAAGACTCAAGTTTTCAATCTTGATGTTGATGTTGTTCAAAAGTTTTGATTTTTTCAATACTATCGTAACCAAAAACTAAGCCTTGATTTGTTATTTTTTAATTAACTCTCAAATGACACTGTACTGATTGCTCACGGAGTAATGTATTATCAGCTAAGTATTAAGTATTCGAATATTTAAAACAGTTATCTCACGATTTGACAAAAAGGCTATCATTTTCAAAAACATCAATTTTAAATTGGAGGCAAAACACAGATTTACTCACAACACGTGCCTAAAGCCTATTTGCAAAGCCACGTTTGAAGTTTGCGTTATGACTTCTTATTTGTTCTGAGTCTGCTAAAAGATTGGTCTGCTAAATTCCCTGTCGCGATAGATCAATTAATATGTCTCAATTCAATTTCTAACGATTTCTAAGACAGGTTACGTTTCCGCTAGCCAGTTAAAAGCGCGAAATATATTGCGAATTAAAAATCTAAAATTGACCAAATTGGCAATCTGACTGCTTGATTTTTCTGACCCCACAAACCCCATAGTTTAATGAAAAAGTATCCCAGATAAAATATCTTTTTTTTTTAAATTGAGCTCAGGACAACAATAATTTTCGAATGATATATAAAAAGATTCCCCAATTTCAAATACTCGTCACTTTCTTCGGATGCAGAACAAAAAGTATTTGGCAAAAATGTTGATGAGAACGAGGGTACTACAAGTTTTCTGGAACAATACTGGAACAAGTTTTTAGAAGTAATGCCAAGCAAAAAAAAATGAGAACTAAAATGCAGACGAGACAAACACTGGAAGTGCGGTGAAATAAACTACTATAACTTGGACATTCGGCGGAAAACACGGGATCTGCGTACCTTAGGAAATGAGTCAAAAGATCCTTCGGAATTGTTTTTCATGCTTGTTTGCTGATAAATATTCAAACTCAAGAATTTTTGTTCAGACATTTTGTTTTGGAGCTTAAAATTTAGATTGTTCGATTATTGCAATTAGTTTTCGATTGTTATCTGAGGTTCTATGTTATCATAGGGCTCTATTTTTCTTGTCGCAACAAACCTGCTTCCTTATGGTAAATGTTAGATCCGAAGCTTAAGAACCTCTAGCCCTGTTTTCATGATATGATTCCCCGTTCTCTCTGGTTATTTTGTTTCGCTTTTCTTGCTCAAATTTGTCACAACTACTGGACAAACAACCACCTTGATCATGAAAAAGTTTCGTTCAAGAATATGAATTAACCGTTTTGCAGATTGTTATGCGGGTTCTTGTAGGACACACCTTTTATTGGTCGTAAATTTTGTAGTAGAATTAGAATTTCTATCTTTCTCCCGGTAGCTGGTAACATGAACTGGATCAACCTATATCTGTAATTGGGTAAGGTGGATCTGAGCTCCAAAATAAGTAATTCAACGAACGAGAAATTCCGGCTGCTTTTTTGAGATCTCTATCTATTCAAATTCCGTTGGCTGCCCCATCCATCTGATATCTTACTGGTCTGGACAAACAAAAGTGAGTGCTGAAAATTTTTTAGTTGGAGTTATAGAAAAGTACCATCTAATATAATTACATCATGGACCTAGACAGTTGTTTTGGTTCATATCAGTTTTCAAAGTCTGAGATGATATTAATCGGAAATCAAAACCTGATACTGGCTAGTAGTTTTGGTAACTTTTTTCAAAATCCTTATAAAACATTTGATGCCGCCTCAAATTAATTGTTACATACTTCAACCAGAATTGCATTAATTTGATGATTTACCACCCGCATCCAAGTTTAGGCGCAAGTATTCGATTATAACAGATTATTATGATGATTTTTTGACAATTATAACTGATTATAATTACCAAAATTGGGTGTTTAAAAGATTTATAGTTGATTATAATCGTGATAATTTCCAAGAGATTATAATGTTTTATAATC